ACTTTGTCATTAAAGGGGGGGGGGGGAAGGGGGGAGGGAGAGTATGTGTAATACATCGGCTTATATTTTACATTCATATCGATTTCACACATTGCTGTAAAAGTCAATACAAAACGAATACTTTCGTAAAATCTCGAGTGATTACACTCCATCAAAAGAATGCAGTCGACAGATGCTTGCAAGTTTGATAATTTTACAAATACACTGTTAAAAAGATGTGTTTTATGAAAAGATAAAAGCAAAATGAGACTCTTATGAAAAATCATTTCAGAGAAGTCATCAAGCGAAATGTTGGAAGTGATGCAAAATCTATTCCAGCCAAAACTCAACATCTCGTAATTTCATTTCAATGTTCTTCATTCAATAACGAATGTTTGAGGATATTTTGAAGTTATTTTCATTGAGTTATCATCAGTGATCATCGTTGCCGAAAAGTCGCCTTCAAGTTCATTCGTGCTAAAGCATCGTTCACATTCTCGTTTTCTTCGGATTGGAACAAACACATATTGCGTAAAAATACCAAATGGTCTACTGAAGCTGAAAGAAAAAGCGAAAATCGGATGAACTGAGATGAGAAACAAACAAATTTTAGATGACACTGTTTTGAAACAAAAGATGTTCAAAGCAACACTTAAAAGGCTCACACATCTTTCTAGTATTGATTAATTGCTGTGCGTTTCATTGTATTGCGGTGGAGGTATTCATTTAATCTTATGTCTGAGGCATTTCATTAATCCATATATGCGTTGTATTGTATTTTGTTTTTCGATTGATTGATTATTCAATTGCATTATTCATTTATTTCACTTTGCAGTATTCATTCGAGTGGACAATGTTTCATTGATGTTAATATTTGTTTTTTTAGGAATCTCGATTGCTTTGTGTTTACCTCATCACCATGTCCCTTGTATTTGCGAACGAATGTTTTTAAGTTTATGTTGAAACTTGAGAACATTCAAGTTGAAAGTGGACTGAAATTAAAGTTGAACTTCCGGTTGCAAATAAATTCGACGTTGTATTTCGTTCTCATGACGCCACTGGCTAAAACGAAACGTTGTTGTTCAAATTAAAAGCCAAACAAACACCGCGGTCAAAATTCGTTTTTCTTCTGAATTTTCACTTGCATTTAATTGTGATTATTTTCATGAGATTTTATTCGTTTCTCTTTTACTGTTCGCATAAAATATGATTGCGAATACGGCTGAAATACAAACATTTTCACTGCCACCGAAACGATGCAGTAATAGAATTGACGAGAATGTTTTCTGCTATCTAACGAGAACTGCTGAAGATGAATTCCTCAAAAAAGTGAACGCACAAGGAGTAGACAGACGTGTAGGGATGTGAAGATGCAAAACGTGATTATTCGAGTAATTCACACTGATCGACATTAAGGGTTCTTTTTTTGTGGTTTTATGATATTTGCTGATTGAAAAGATTTACTGTAATGCGAGGTGACAAACGATCATCAATGCCCTCATACAACTGTATCAACAAAAAATGAATAACAGAACAAATGAATCAATCAAAATGAAGTGGAATTTTTTTCCAAAAAAAAGATGACTTTCAGTGCAAAGTAATAAACGAACGACATTACAACAGTGGAAAAGCTAAACGAAACGAACAAAAAAAATTTAGTAATTCAAAGTAAACAAT